AGTCCAATGTAGAAAAAAAATGTTTATGTTCATGTGGAAGGTCTAGTGCAACATAACTTAGAATGATTTTTAAAATGATGGATCACGACCATTTAGAGGACTAGTAATTGTTACATCATGTAAATCTGAATATATATTATAATATCCAAATATAAATATATTTATTATGAATTATCAGTATAATATACGTAAACCATAATTTTTCTTGATTGTCCAGCTCTGATTCTGTGTCCCTACATTTGCATTTTGTTATTCTCAGTCAAAAAGTCAACTGCATTCTCAAATATTTTACGTTGTGAATGGATAATTTTGTATTGAACAGTGTATATAAATTAAAAAAATTAAATTTACAAAATATGAAAGAAGAAAATGTTTGTGTTTACACCCCCTCGATTCTTGATACAACCTTACACTACCCTAACAAAGAAGTGTGGACCAAGCTGCCTTGTAAAGTTTTTGGAGTGTTCAAGAAAATTTTGTTGTCAAGAGAAGTGTTGACTAGATCGAAGTCAAGAATGGCTTAGGCCTATTGGTACGAAAGCTTGTAAGTGTTAGGAATCACGAGGAATCTGCAGGCGCTCTTAAATTGTATACTTATACAACTCTTCTCACCAAAATATACATGCACACAATGTGATTCCAGATGATAATGTTTGAGAATTTTCTTGCTAACAGAATGACCTTTCTACCTTAAAAGACAACAAATCTATACGCGGTCACGAAATAAAGAGCTACATGTCTTGAATATCAGAGATTTTTTTTACATTCCCCACCCCACCCCGCATGAAAAGCGGGAGGGTATAAAGTAATCGATATGTACGTCCGTCTGTTACGGTTTGGGCTACCAGTCTCTTATCTGCAACTTCTCTCTCATTCCACTGAATGAAATTTGATGAAATTTCACAGAATCTTAATTACATATTAAACATTGTGCACCTCATCTTTTACCTTTTGATCTGACATATATTTTGGCTTCCCCATAGCAAAACATGGACACTGTCATTATATTCATATGGGAGACGGGGGTATCATTTAGTGAGCTAATTGCTCACAGTACCTCTAGTTCATTTTGCATAAGGTTTTTGAAAAAAATAGAGTTTTAACATTTGAACATAAATGTGTTGTTTCTTGAGTGTTTATTGATTGATTGTATAATGTTTAACGCCGAGTCGGCAAATTTGCAGCAATGTTTCGGCGGACTATCGGTTTAAATAATCGGTTTTTGAAGGATTTTGGTTTCTCTGGCTGCCCCCAGTGGGCTTACTCTTTTTCGAACTCCAGAGAAACGATCTTTTTACGTGCAAAGGGGGTTGTCATCCTTGACACGGGGCACCATTTTACTTGAGTGTTGACAATACCAAAATTCCGAAGAGAGACTGAAACATTTAGCAAATAAACCTGGAACAGAAGATGTTAGGGAATATTACTAAGTTCTTATAAGTGCTAAAAAGCTGGAACAAAGTGTTCGATGGAATCAGACAAGAATTTCTTCAGTTAAATATGATGGTGTGCTGAGGGAAGTTGAAGTAGAAGTGCGATTTGATCATGAGAGGATTCAGGAGTGAGTTTAGGTGGACGGGTGCTCAAAGGCTTTGGAACACGGTCAAGTACGAGGGGAAGAATTTGGAAACTCTTAAGGTATACCTTTACTCAGATGACCAAAAATTCCACTGATAAGAACGAAAAACCACCTATTGCACATTGTACACCTATGATTCTTGTGTTAAATTTTAATTTCAAATAACTAGGTCAATTACCTATTTTTCATGCTAGTGGCCCCTGAGTATTTCTCGGGAAATACCTCAATTTTTCACACTATAACCATTTTTTTCTATACACACAAAATATTACAAGCAACTAAACTCTTTAAATAATGAAATATTATAGCAATGGAACAGCGTTGCTTCATATAAAGAAAGGATTGGAGTTTGGACCATAAATATGATAATCATTCAGTCCGAATTTCCTCTGTCATATTTATATTTTTTCCCAATTTTAAATCGAATATTACAAAAATCTGACTGATAAGAACTCTAAACTATGGATAGCCTCAGATTACTTTTAATGCTCTAATTCTCATGGTATTAATATTATATGGGGTCAATGATCAAATTATTGAGATATGTTGTGTCGAATGGCTTTTGTACATATTTTTGAATTTCTTTATTTCACAGCATTCAATTATTTGAAATAATATATAAGCTTTAACACATATAATATTTGCAAAATGATGTTTAAAAACACATGTAACCTTTATTTTGTGATTAATATTGCAAGAAATAAAAAAAATGACAAAAATGGAAAATTAAAAAATTCAGTCCGAATTTCCTCTGCATTACCTTACGTTGACTTTTGTTCCTGTATATTTTCTTTAAATAATAAAATATTAAATTTTCAAATTGATTTTGATTTAAAACTTGCTTATTTTATCCATTTAGAACAATTTTTGATTTAAAATATTATACTTTATAAAATTTCATTTCTGTTTTCTGAAACCTGAGTAAACGTCATCCTTAAGTCGAGTTTGTTTTAACTATTTCCAGAAAATATGAATCTTTTCTAGTATTTTTTGTTTGTTCATATTTAATGGACTAATCAATATAAAAAAAACAAACTGTAATTTATTTTCTGCAAAACGAATCAGAATTCAGCAGTTTGAGTATTTTACAAAATTCAAGTGAATATGACGTCATTTTGAACCGCCATTTTGAGCTAATTAACACATTTCAAATTTGAACGACTAAATTTTCCAAATTAAAGTGATGATATTAGTGATCTATTGGAAATTTACATATTTGTACTACGCTCAATAAGATATTCACAAATCCTTTCTTCTATGTAAACGAGCCCCGTGGGGATCTGGGTTAGAATAGGTCGTCAGTACCCCCTTGCTTGTCGTAAAAGGCGACTTAATGGGGCGGTCCTTCGGATGAGACCGTATAAACCGAGGCCCCGTGTCACAGCAGGTGTGGCACGATAAAGATCCCTCCCTGCTCAAAGGCCGTAAGTTCCGAGCATAGGCCTAAATTTGCAGCCCTTCACCGGAAATGGTGATGTCTCCATATCAGTGAAATATTCTGGAGAGGGAGGTTAAACAGTATACAATCAATCAATCAATCTATGTAAACGACATTAGGAAATAATTTGAAAAAATTGAATATCCGCCATTTTTAATCGCTGAATTGACTCTTAACTTACAGCTGCAGCATCATTCAGTTCTAGAGTAGTGAGATGTAGAAGAAAAAATACAAATCTGTAGTGTATGGATATATGCAAATGTAAAATCCTGAACAAAGCAGAATATAGAACTATAGACAAAAAAATCAGAGAAAATTCGAATTAAGTGTAGAAACGACTAAAATTTCCGAGTTAAACTAATAGTGGTAGCATTCTATTATCATTTTTATACTTGTATCACACTCTGTGAGATATTCACGCATTATTTCTCCTTTTTGAAGGATATTTAGAGAAAATTAGAAAAATTTGATGTCCGCCATTTTGAATTGCCATTTTGACCTCTTTAACGCCATTTTCATGAAGGCCAGCATATTTTTTTCGGATTCAGAATACTCGAATTAGGTTAAAAAACTATGCTGAACCAAATAATTATTTGCCGTTAGAAGTATTTTTTCAATAAATCGGACCAGACTATTATGTTACATAGGGATTTGATGTTACTTTTTATATGTTTATTAGTTTTTGATATAATAATAATGATAAAACTTTATTTAAAGAAGGTAACCTTGTGGAGTGCATGCACTTTTCTTCCCCAGGGCCCTCTCAACCTCAGGGTTGTTCGAAATGTGCGTGGACGATGTCAATCTTCGTTATACTACGTTTCGAGATATCTAAAATAATCTCAATATCATGTGTAAAAAAAATTCTTTTGTTGATTTATAAAGTTTCATTTCAATAGATTTAAGAGAAATCAATTTACTCCATTTTAAAATCAATATGTTTTGTAACCGCGGAGCTTACTTAACAGCAATGTAACGTCAAAAACTTAGCGTCAAGAATTTCTGAAAAATACTATCTCTATATATTTTACACAGTCATTTATAAAAACATTTTTCTAGCACTTGACATTTTTAAGTCATCCTTTATGTCACTTTCGGATTTTTTTTTTTTTTTTTTTTTTTTTTTGATTCAGGTCTTACGGAGAATATGACTACAGTCATTATCATATTTATTCAGTATGCTGTTTATGAGTTAATTAATTTTGACCTGCTCCACGATCCGATTTTTAATTCTGGATAGGTTTGGAATAAATCATGATAATTTAAAATTGTTCAACACAAATCATTTGGATTAATTGATACAATATTTCTATCGAAATTGGTTAACAGATGGCGTTAAATAATTAAAATATGAAAAGAGTCCACAAATTTTTCGAACAACCCTCGTATACTAGTATTTCAATTACAAAGATATCGTACAAGGTACAATTAAACATATCTAACAATAATAGGCTTAAGGAAGTATTTCACAAAATTATGAGTAGAGTGGCAATGCACAGACAATTAACAATCACACACAATGTAGATACAATATCAAAATCTTATTGTGCTCAAATAGTTGTGCGACAGCTGATGATGTAATTTTCAACATTCAACATTCAACATTTTCAACATTACACTTATATGCTCGTAGAGACTGAGAGAGTCTAATGTGTTGAGGAAGTTTATTTATAGATGTACACCTGAGTACTGAAAAGAGGTCGGGGTCTTGAATAAGTTTGTACGAAATTTTGGTTATCTAAGATCGTAATTAGTTTCAGATAGCAGGTTATAAGAAGTTGAGGAGTGAAATTCAAATAAATTTCAAATATAATGGGGCGTCATTCCGCTGAAAATTTTGTATTTGTATGGATCAACTGGCTCATAAACTCTTAGCCATCGATGTTTCTCAAGCTCAAGCAGTTGTTTAGAGGAAGAATCAGGTCAAGAATAATCCTGGCTGCCCTTTTTATAGTTTAAATAGATTGCCCATGTCCTACTTGTATTTACACACATGGCACGTGTCACGATTTACAAAGTCACAGAATTCTCCATGACAATGGGGACAATGAACATTGAGATCTGCAATATCAGTAAATCTGATATAATGTATGTCTAATACAAAATAATGAATAACTTCACAAATTTAAGGATTTGTGAATAGAAATACATCTCAAGCATTATATCAGTAACGACACTGTACCAGTAACGTTGGTTTCTTTGCTGGTAGTAGGATGTATAGATGAAACACCAGGATAAAATGATCCAAATGCACGTGCTACAATTATTATAAAAAGGTTTAGTTAAAAAGTCACTGAAAGAAACATAAAACTAATCATATAATTCAAAACCTGATTAGAAATGCCAGGAAATGAGTGTCGTTCACAAACAATAGCTGAACTATTCGAAATACTTTGGACCATCCTTGTACTCTTATAAAGAAATACATGAAATGTTTGTAAGAAAGAAAAGACGAAGCAGTTAAATTAGTTTATGAATTGTTATTATAAAAATTAAAAGTATAATTTTAAACGGAATATCTTGTTTAAGGTAGTCCGATCCTCAGGTTTATAAAATTAGCAGTTAACAGGTTGGGGGAAACGTAAATTCCGCTATAATTGTGGTATCTCACTACATTTATTATAGTGCAATTACGCTTTATTTCCTGCCGTGGTTACCCTCAATTTCATCCAATATCATGCAAGGTGTTTGAACCGCAAGTCATGATGGGTACTAAAATGAACAAAAACTGTCATGTTTGCATGTTTTGAATTTTAATAAATTTTTTACCGTTGTGTTTAATGATGAGAGCTGTCTTTTTTTATGGAAGAGGCCGATAATAATGGGTCTTTACGGTTACCATAACGGGCCTCCATACCCGTAACCATGCAGACAAAAATAATCTTTTTCTTTTTTAATTCCATAAACCCTTTCCAGTGCGAGTTGACAATTGTAACAAGCATCAATTTGTGCGCATTAATAAGGAATAAGTGAGATTCAAACAGGCTGAAATACCCCGCAGTCATCGGTTGCTATGTTAAAAATGCAACTTCTGTTAAAAAAAAGACAGCTCTCATTATTAAACGCAACAGTAGAAAATTTATTAAAATTCAAAACATGCAAATATGAAACTTTTTGTTCATTTTAATACCCACCATGACTTGCGGTTCAAACACTTTGCACGGTATCGGATGAAATTGAGGGTATCCACGACAGGAATTATAGCGTAATTTCACTATAATAGTGAGATACCACTATTATAGCGGAATTTACGTTTCCCCCCAACCTGGTTAAGTAATCAAAAATACTCATTAAAGTTTCTCTGAATCCACAAAGTTATGTAAATTTATCCACAGTATTTCTTTAAAGTTATAGATGAAAGTAAATCATAATCGTATATTAGAAAATTTAAAATCTCAAATATTTTTGCAGAAAAAGCGAATTGGAATATAAGCAATGCATTTTCTAATTGCAAATTGATCAACAAATATATTTTAGGTTAAAAAACGATAGGTATCCAGGCATTCCAGAGAAATTGCCATGATTTTTATACTAATTTGGTATTTTTTCTTCTATTTCCGTCATGTATTCTATAATGCAGAGTGTAAAAGGCTTTTGCTATCATTGCAAGACACCATAAATCACTTCTGACCGTTCACGGTAGCTCGGTCGGTAGAGCACTCGCTCCGTGATCGGGAGGTCGTGAGTTCGTATCTCGGCCGCGACTGACCCAGTCGATAAAAAATGGGTAGCAACTGTTCCTTCGCCACCTTGCGCTCGGCACTTTGAAGTGAAAGTTGCAGGTCCTTCGGATGAGATCTTAAAAACCGAGGCGGCAGGCGTTGGCACGATAAAGATCCCTCACTGCTCAATGGCCCTGAGTGCAGAGTAAAGGTCAAAATTTGAAGCCCTTCACCGGCAAACGGTGACGTCTCCATATGAGTTAAAAATTCTCGAGAGGGACGTTAAACAATATGCAATCAATCAATAAATCACTTCTGGGCTGGGTTCAAGAAAATCTTATTTCTCTAAAACTATTATTTTTTTTCCCCTTTTATGGGGTACAAATGTCAACTTTTAAAAGACCTTTTCTGAGACTTCCAAACACCCCGAATCTTATAAAGATGAATAAAATGAAAATTGTTGCATGAAAAAATTTAATTTTCAAGGTTCATTTTGATGCATTTCAATTTAAATACTAGGAGACTTATTGTTCACAGAACAATAAGAGGTCTCCTCACCTTCTTTGGATCTTAATGTTGTTTTATATCTGCCTCCTTAAAATTAAATTCCATGAATAAGAAACCGAAATTGTTTTAAAGGATAAAAAAATGAAATTTTAAAAAAAATGACATGACCTTGACCTCTGACCTTGAAAAATTATTCAAGGTCAAAGGTCAAGAGTTACAATGCAATTGACCCCATGCTTCTACGACTTATATTTTACAAGTTATAAGGTTTTATATTAAGTACAAAGAAGTTAAAGGGCAATAACTCATATAAGGGGTCATCAGATCCTTTCGCATTTATACAGAACCTTAAGACATTAGTGAAAGTTTGGTGTCTCTATGGTCTATAGTTTGGGAGGAGTAGTGATAACAAGGTTTTTCGCACAAGGGGCAATAACTTTTAAAAGGGTTAATCTTTGGGGACAAGAATGAAATCTTTGAAATAGTTTTAAGAGAGCATAACAAGGATGCATATACATTGAGTATATGTTGAAAGACAAAAGAGATATAAAAAGAGCTAAATTTCTGATTTTTGGAATTACCTTGACATTTGACCTTTACATGAATTTTAAGGTCAAAGGTCAATGAATCTTATGCAGTTGGTCTCATGTCTCTACGACTTGTCGTTTTGAAAATTTTTAATTATTTGTAAAATTCAAAAAGTTTCAGGGGCAATAATTCATTGAAGGGGTTACTGAATACTTTTGCAATGAATAGATTGAAAAGTCCCCTTAATTAGTTGAAGACCTTGGTGAAGGTTTCATACCTTGGTTTATGGTTTCAGAGGAGTAGCGATAACAAGCATTTCTTGCAAAAGGGGCAATAACTCCGAAAGGGATCAAGGTTCATTTACGCAGGGTCAACTGCAATAATCTTTTGCAAAGTATATTCTTATGGACTATAAATCTTTTCGATATATCTTGAAACTCAAAATTACACGGCGGAAAAATAAGAAGAACTAGTAGACTAATTGTTCTCGAACAATTAGAGGTCTTTCCATCTTTTTTAAATTTCTTATTTTTTCATATTTAACTCTTTTAAATAAAGTTTCATGAAAAAGAAACCAGAAAAGACTTGAAAGATAGAAAAAAATGAAGATTTTAAAAATTTTTGAAATGACTTTGACCTTTGACCTTGTAAAAATAATAAAGGTCAAGGGTCACATGGTTATTGACCTCCAGCCTTTACTACTTATACTTATAAAGTTATGAGGCTTAATAGTAAGTGCAAATACATTAAAGGGCGATAACTCATATAAGGGGTCATCAGATCCTTTTCCACTGAATAGACTGAAGTTGTGCCTAAGGGCCCTGAAGACATTAGTGAAGGTTTTGTGTCTCTACGGTTTACGGTTTCGAAGGAGTAGCGATAACAAGGTTTTTAGCACAAGGGGCAATAACTTTTAAAAGAGTCAATCTTATGGGACAAGAATGAAATCGTTGAAAGAGTTTCAGGAGTACACATTAAAGTCAGAAGATAGATAGTGTATGTTTAAGGTCATAAGAGCTATTTAAAGAAAATTATCCCTTATATTTGGAATGACCTTGACCTTTGACCTTAAAATGAATTTAAAGGTCAGAGGTCAAGGAATCTTATGCAGTTGGTTTCATGTCTCTACGGCTTCTCGTTTTGAAAATTTTTAATTATTTATAAAATTTATAAACTTTCAGGGGCAGTAATTCATTGAAGGGGTCGAAGAAAACTTTCGCAATGAATAGATTGAAAAGTCTCCTAAATTAGTTGAAGACATTGGTGAAGGTTTTGTATCTCTACAGTTTACGGTTTCGGAGGAGTAGCAATAACAAGCTTTACGGTGAAAGGGTCAATAACTAAGTAAGGGGTCAAAGTTCAAACATAGGGGGTCGTTTTTCGGAATAACTTTAAATATCCAATATGATGAACTATAAAGTTTTTCAATAAGTCTTACGGTCTCAAAAGCTAAGGTGAGAAATAAAATAATAAGAAACAGAAGCATTTCAAGAGGTCTTTCCACAGAAAGGTAGAAAAACCTAATAATAAGGAAAAGAAGAAACAGAAGAAGGAAATCAATATATCTTTCCACAGAAAGGTGGAAAGACCTAATAAGAAACAGAAGAATACCAATAGGTCTTTCCACGAAAGATGGAAAGACCTATAAAGAAGAAACAGAAGGAAATCAATAGGTCTTTCCACAGAAAGGTGGAAAGACCTAATTAGTATTAATTTTTGGAGTTATTCTTCCTGATGGAAAGATGGAAAGACCTAAAAAGAAGAAACAGAAGGAAATCAATAGGTCTTTCCACAGAAAGGTGGAAAGACCTAATTAGTATTAATTTTTGGAGTTATTCTTCCTGGCTGAGAATCGGATATCCTTAAGAATCAGTTAATACACGTTAAGTAGTCTAACTTGATGAAATAAAGGGAGATGTACCTATGCAGGATTCGTCACTGCAGCAGAGCGTGTTGTTGTTATCTTTGCAATGTTCCTACAATACATATAATGTAGAATAATCATATTAAAAGGGCGTCTCAGTCGAAATGTATATAATCTAAGTTGCAAGTTGTTATAATTAACTATAAATCACTAACTGAGCGTTTAATTTCAATGTTTCTCATTACACTTACATCTGAATTGTGAAATATTTCATATGTATATTATATAGACCTACATTTCCATTCAAACAATGAACATAAGGTAATTGTCCTTGATGTAAGTCGATTCTACATATGTGACACGTATCTCGATTGACAAAGTCACAGTCATCTCCGTGGCAGATAGGGCAGTGTACCGTAGAATCTGTATAATAAACAGCAAGAAAATGTGAAATCCAGCAACGCTGTAGCGTAAAGTGATCGAGGAAATACCTGTTTTCTTTATTGACACATTTAAGTTTTTTAATATATATGTTGTTGTTTTTTTTTACTTTTTGAGAGAAAGAGATCACCTGTATTAGTTAAGTGTTGGATTGTGGTATTGGTAATGTGCAATTCTCTAAAAAAGGAAGCTGAAATGAAAAATCTAAAATGACCTTTTTTTCATTTGAAAAAAAAGTTGAAAAAATAACTAGAAGTAGAGTGTATTTACCAACACAAGATTCAGTATCACAGCAATGATGATGAATGTCGACGTGACAATGTCCAGCCTGTAAATGTTATTTTAAAAAGTTTCATCATCACAACCTAGTGTGTTTTTTTTATGAATTCCCAGGCTTGCATTAGTGATCATTAGTTGGATCTGTTTTAGAGAAATAAGAGCTCACAAAAAGACAAAATAAATTGTTGGGGTATTAATGTAATTATTAAGATATTTCTTTGGTCCTAAAATGCAAATCGAAGACTAAAACATAGTACTAACGATAAATCTTGAACTGAAAACTTCAAAAATAAAATAACATATGTTGCGAAAATAACCCTTTATACGGATTTAAGGCCAAAGTTTTAACATTGAATAATCAAAATTTGCAATTTTAGTTTTACATCAACATCATTTCACCACATGAAAATTATCTCGGCTCATTTGATTCAATACTCAAGTGCTTGATCTTCTGTATGAAACATATGGAGATAACGAACAGTATTCAAGATCAAATTTCCATAGAACAATACAAAACAGGAGAAGGACAAACACGGACCTCCTAAACATCGGAGGTGGACCAGGTGCCATGGAGGAGTTAACGTCTCCTGTCCATCGGTCACACCTACCGTGTACCTCTTTTCTTGATCGGCAAATAACGGACATATCCGACGTTAATTCATTGTGTAAAAAAGAGTAACAATTTGGTACAAAAACGTCAGTCAGCATTTGACTTAATGATAAATTGTGTTTGCTGACAAGGTCATAGTATCGATCGTAGACATTACGAAATGATGACTTCAAACGAGTCTCCTGATATTCTAGTTTCATTAACTTGTTTGTCAATATTTTTTCTCCCACTTGCTGAAGTTTCCTCTGAGGTGTCCGCCTTGACGATTTGAACCGTTGTATCTCCTGTTTTAGCGTATTAACTTCAACTTCTTTTTTCTTCAACTCTTCAGTTTGATTCTCAGCAGTCATCTGAGTTATAGCAATTAAATGTGCATCAAATTGGACTGAAGCTTTGCAAATCCGGTATGTAAAATGTTGCCATCCTTCATGGTTTTCTCACTCAAAATCCTTTGTTTTTTTTCTGCTCTTCCAATTTAGAAATGACACTTTCATAGTTTTCTATTTTGTACTGTAGCTTCTTGATTACCCTAGTCTTTGCATCCGCAGTTCAGCGTTTGTTTGTAATGTAGAGGTATTCGCCGTTTTGGGTTTGACTGCATTGTGAGCAGTGCACAAACTTGTATGATGACATCTTTGATTTTGAAATTGAATTTAGACTGACATTCTGCAAAACAATGTCTGCGTAAACAATTAAGGTCAGACGATACGTTTCCCAAATATCTGTTTTGTATATCATCATACTTTATGAAAAATATACAAAATCTTTATTACTTTCTGGTTTCTAAACCGGTTTTTAATTGTTTTGTAAATTTGAAACAATAAAATGCGATTTTGGCAAACTAAGTATTTTTTCTAAAGGATTATATAAAAAATGCCATCCTCTGGTTTCTCACAAAAACGTCTGGTAAGGTACCTTGATTTCCTGTGATTAAACATGTTAAAATAGGAATTCTTCAATGACAAAATCTTGAAAAAAATATATATATTATTGAGGAACGTCTCATCTGTCCTTAAAGCACAGTTTGCCTTGTCTGACAATTTTCATCCGGTCATTGTGTTTTGTGTTTCTTGTACAGCCACTTGAATGATGCGACTCTTTGCAAAATGCACAGCAAACGTGATGATTTTTATGACTGTAGTTCCGTTGTAGTTGCCTACCACTTGTTTCTGAGTTTATGTAGAAAATAGCTGTAGCACGTTCTGATGTTTTGTCCATATAAGTTCCTGCTTATAGTATATCAAGTTCCTTGTGAAGAGCCTTTCGTAAGTCACATAGTAACCAGTCGGTAGATCCATGCTCACGTGCCAGATATTTGCGTTATTCACAAGATAATTTGATAAAAATCACTGGTACTAGATTGATTGATTGATTGTATAATGTTTTACGTCCCTCTCGAGAATTTTTCACTCATATGGAGACGTCACTGTATGCCGGTGAAGGGCTTCAAATTTTGACATTTACTCGGTACTCAGGGCCATTGAGCAGTGAGGGATCTTTATCGTGCCAACGCCTGTCGCTGACAAGGGGCCTCGGTTTTTACGGTCTCATCCGAAGGACCTGTAACTTTCACTTTAAAGTGCCGAGCGCATGGCAAAGAACAGTTGCTACCCATGTTTTATCGACTTAGGTCATTCGCGGCCGAGATTCGAACTCACGACCTCCCGATCACGGAGCGAGAAGAGAATCGTATGTTTCCTGAACTTGTCCTTAGAATTCTAAACCTCTGACATATGTCTCCACTTGGTCATGAAAATGGTGCAGGCTGATATTATTCTTGGAAGCGGTAAGGTCTAAGAGCATTTGCATTTAGGACTGAGTTATCTTGTGGTTTTTGTCCAAAACTTTCTTGTATAAGCTCAATCGCTCTGTTGTAGTTTGCATGTGTGAGTGCAAATCCTGAAATGGTGTTTGATGCCTCTTCTGCTAATTAAAGACTTTAAGTAGTTTAACTTTTGTACTTCAGTCAACGTGTTGTTGCTATGAATTGCCGGATTGAATGAATCCCAGAATGACTGCCACTCCTACATATTTCCCTCAAATATAGGCAAGTTCAGTTTGGGTAGTTTGTGAAAATTAGAACTGTTTGAATTTGGATTAGGATGAAAACTTGTGAAGGACTGATGAGTTCTGGAATTTTCACTGAAATAATGTGATGATTGACTATTCCCTCCTAATTGCGAATTTTCATCTTGATGTAAGAAACTTCTTGCATTTGCATTTAAACTCGATCTTTTTACCAATAACCGTTTCTTACATTTCCGCATTTAAGAATTAAGATTGAAATGTACGCATCTGTTTCTGATAGAATTTTTTCATCAAGATCTCTGAGAATTTCCTGTTTCTCTGTCAACGTTGTCAAAATTGAATCAATTTCCTCTGAATTTATATTTTCCTCATCCAGTCTTTTCAGAAGTCGTGTAACTGTACTTCTTTGTCCTGCTCGGACTGCCTTCAGTGTAGAAGTCTCCTCATTCGTCACGGCATCAATGTTAGAATGTAAAACCAATAGGAAAACACGTCTGAATCGTATAGTGGTTTACTTGATTCTGAACATGTAATAAACATAACGTCGTAGTAACGTCTATGACGTCATAGCACTGTGACGTCATAGTATGGTAAAAGTCTTTTACATTAAATCAAGGTTAATTAGAAAAGTACTATTGTCTGTTGTATTCACAACAGAGGCAAACTATTGACAAAAGATGGATATGGAGATAACGAACAGTATTCATTATTTGGGCCATAAAACAAAAAAAAAAACAAAAAAAAAATTTCTACAAATATCTTAGTGAAAAAAGACCCAGTTTTCCAGAGAAGACCCAGAGTTTGTAGACCCAGAGTTGGAAAAATATTTATGAATGTATCTCTTATAGACATAAGAGATAAAAACATAGACGAATTTAGCCATAAACTATTGAATAATATATTATGTAACAATGCTTATCTGAGAAAGTGAAAAAAAGATATATCCTCTATGTGTGTACATTGTAACAAAATAGAAAATGCAAAACCTCTGATTTTTGAATGTGATAATGTGTCCAGTACATGGAATACTAAAAGCAGTTTTTTATCATTTAAAGTTCAGTGGAAACATATTGTTGTTGTGTTTTTCCATGAAAAAAAAATGATAAAACTAGATCTCTAAATTTTTTTATTGCGTATGTGGCATATAGAATTTATAAACATAAAATGTGATTTAAATTGGAGTCTTTAAGTGAAACTGAATACAATATATACAATAATGTAAAAAAAAAATTGTTTCTACACTTCTGTATTACGCTTTCTATATGTTATAACTGAGCTTAGGATTTTTGAAAATCTTTCCAAATTATTGTGAAAATTATATATTCTGGTATAAATACTACTGGGAAGAGACCTGTCTTTCTGTAGTGCTGTCAAAAGGGGGGGAGTAAAGAGACTGTGAAACGTATCTGTGGCTCTTTCGGTTGACAGCTACACTGAAATTATAATCTTTTCCTTAATTCATGATGTATACTGTATATATATATTTTTTGAAAATAATTATACTCATAATTTTTTATATAATTTATAACATCCTGCGTGATGTCATAGGGACAAAATTATCATTATTTAGAAGGAACTTAGTCAGGGCCCCATTTTTTTCTTTCTTGGTGATGTTAGTTGATATGTTGTTATAGATTAGGTCTGGGAAATAAAATCGTTCAAAAAGAAAAAAGAAAGTCCATAAAACAATACAAAATAAGAGCAGACAAACACGGACCTCCGAATCATCCGAGTCGGGATCAGATGCCATGGATGAGTGAGCATCCCCTGCTGACCGGTCAAACCTGCCGTATTCTCCTTGTCATGATCGGGAAATAATGGAAAAATCCGTCGTCAATTCAATGGATACATTATGGACTAACAATTAATATAAAAAAAAACGTCAGTCAGAATTGACTTAGTGATAAATTGTACGAGAGTTGATCAAAGAGTAATGTCACTGTGTCAAAATCTATAATATTTGGCGTCATATTATCAAATATAATATACCAAACGATGCATAAAAATAAATCTTATCAAAATTGAAAATTTCATTAAATAAACTTGAATTAATTTTATAGACGTTTAAATATTAAAGATAAGGGGTGTCACCGCGTCACAACTAAACGTCACGTTTTAAATTGTAAATTGTTAGAATGAAAAAAGACAAAAACATTAAAAACAGCTTTAAAAAACATATAATCGCCCAATATTTTAAAAGACAAAATTTTACATTTTCTTTTCTCATGTTGGAATTTAAATGACGTCATTGCTTTTTGATTATAAACATTCCTGTTTGAATCTGCTAGATTGAAAAGAAATGTCGAAATGTACGGTCGTACGTAGATCATGCTGTTGCATATCGGATCAACAGAGATATATATATATATGATTCGATACACAAGAGCATGCTCTACGTATGAACAATTTCTAAAACGAGGTAAATTATTCACAAGCAAGGTGATGAAACAAGAATATCAGCAGTCTCGTTTAAAGTCATCATTTCGTAAGTTCTATGGTCGATAAAATAACCTTGTCAGCAAATACAATTTATCATAGAGTAAAATGCTGACTGACGTTTTTCATACAATAATATCCCATTATTTATACACTGAATTGACGACGGATTTTTCCCGATCATGACAAGGAGCGGGTGTGACCAGTCGGCAGGGGATGCTCACTCCTCCATCGCACCTGATCCCACCTCTGATGTTTCGGAGGTCCGTGTTTGTTCTGCTCTTATTTTGTATTGTTTTATGGACTCTGAGACTGAATACTGTTCGTTATCTCCATATCCTTCTTGAAGTCATCATTTTGCAAGTTTTTTGTCGATATAATATTTTTTTCTCAATATTTGTACATGAATAAATTTATGTTACAACTATATGCGTTTTGCTATTGACAAAGCTGTACATGCACAAAATGATATTTGTAATGCTATTAAAGTCAAATAATTCTGCGTACATAAATGTGTGATTGAATTTCTTACAAATTATATATAAAAAGAGATTTTGTATAATAGAACAAAATATCAAAGTTTTAAAAAATTAATTTTGAGGGAAATTTTGGCCTATCTTTTGTGCCCTACCTTGAATGGAGTTTAAATACAGTTCGTTTTAGCCATATCTAATAAATTGTGGTTTTTGTCCATTATATTAGTGAGTGATTAATTAGATTTTCATTATGAATTTTATATCATTTGATTTATGTAGATTTAACATATTTCGGATTAATTTCAAATTTTTATCTACTACTTTTATATTAGAGGATGTTACTAAAATTGTCCAAAAGCTAACTAGTGATCAATCCAGTTACATCAAATTAGCAACGAATACAAGTTTTTTTTTTTTGGCAGATTTAAGTATTATTTAGAGAACGAGACGGGTTCTGTATCGTAGATACAAATTTGGGGGTGGATACGAGTGCGCAGCACGAGTCTCCACCCCCTAATTTGTATCTACGATACAGAACCTGTCGAGTTCTCTAAATGATTTGTGACACGATCAATCAAAAATAACTCCGCCCACTTTATAACTTTGCAGCATCCAAACTTCCGCCAGAGTTCTGTAGATGAGGCCCCGACGGAAAGTACGCATCCGCAGTATATATTTTTCCACGGAGAACGTAAAATTCGGTCAGATTAGTTTTGACAATTTAACGGGGTAGACGTAATCGGGAGATAGTCAGTCTTAATGGATAAATTGGAGGATTTAACCGTCATTGTTGTGATCTATTGTAGATAGAGATTTATCATAATTTATTTCAGGGTTCTTAAAATTCCGGTTTACCTAGATTAACAAAAACAGGATTTACAGAAAATTCTTCGATGGACTTTGATGTCACGCGGTCACGGATTTTTATTTTCAAATTGAATTTCGACATTAACAACGAATTGAAAAAGGCGTGTGACTGTCGTCAGCGAGAAGGATTTTAAAAAATAAAAACGCGGGAAAAAATGGACTTGAAGGATTTTGCACGAGGAGAGTGGATGTTTTACGTTATTGCGAATTTTCCGTTTCGTTTGGATCGAAATTACGTACAGAGGATGTTTCCGTTATTATGAATTTTCCTTTCACTTTGGATCGAAATTACGTGTAGATTCTGTGTGGAATAATTTTATAAAAGTTATTGAAAATTTTTTACATTTTACATTGACAGGAAAATACTGGGTATTTCTCCAAAATTTATAATAGGAAAACAACATTTACCATTTGTACGTGCTTTTGCTAAATTGAATCAGATTTATTTTTAGACCGTGCTGTATTTTAGATACAGAATAGTTGGCAAATACAATACTGTATACAAGGGCTAATACAGAACGGAAAGTAGCTTCGCCCACCACAGTCTCGTTCTGTATTGCTAATACAGAACAGTAAACTTCAAAGAAGAACGCCGCTATCGTGTCACAAATGATTATTACGTACCGGAACACATCTTGTATTTATTGGAGGTAGCCCCTCGTGTGTAACTCTGATTTGACAAACTTCACAATGGGTGGTGTTCTTGACGTCACAGATGTGGTGCTGACAAGACGGACAATTAATTAGAGGTACATGATTATGTCCTCCTGTGTGAAGGGTACTTGCTAAAATCAAATTAAATGTTGATCGATATACATATTTTCATTTGTTTTAAACTTTTTGAGAAAAAGATATCACCTGTATGAGTTATTTGTTGGGTTGTGGTACTGGTAATGTGCAATTCTCTAAAAAAAGAAGCTGAAATGAAAAAAAAATCACCTTGACTCTATTTTTTACTTTTAAAAAAAGTTGAAAAGGTAACTAGAAGTAAAGGGTATTTACCAAAAACTTAAATACAAAATTAGATGAACTAAAAGCAACTTTGAATTTATTGAAAATGAGGAACTTAACACTTATTGGCAAAATTCTCATAGTAAAAACTTTAGCAATATCTAAAATTTCAAGCACAAGTACTTCCACTTCCCCCACAAATGATAAAGGAAGTGTCTAAAGAACTGAATAAGTTCATATGGAATAATGAAAAACCAAAGGTTAAAAGTTCAGTATCTTGCCAAAAAATTAATAAGGGTGGATTGAAAGTTGCTAATTTTGAAGCACAAATGAAATCATTAAAACTTGGTTGGGTTAGAAAGATATTTAGTAATACAAAAACAAGATGGAGAAGTACAATTCAATCTTTCCTGAAGGATATAGTATTAAATGATTTTTAATTAGCAGAGGTTGTCTAAATAGGCTATATGCAGATTTGATATTACCATAATTTTATAGAGAAATTTTTGAAACATGGACACAACTAAGATGTAATGATATTGATATTGAAGCAAAAATTTTTAAAGAATCTCTTTGGTTAAATGATACATTAAAATCAATAATGAAACTGTGTTCTGGAAAAAAAAATGGTACACTAAAGGAATCTTATATATTGGAGATATTTTAGGTGATAATTATGATTTTTTTTTAAGTCATGAGGAATTAGGTAGACAGTACGACTTAAATGTATCTTTTTTGATTACTTTTGTTTAAGGAATGCCATTCCATATCATTGGCGAAAATACATAAGGCAAAACAAAAAAGTTTCAATCAATAGAGATTCTTTAATCTTAAGATTCAATGATAAAATAAGTCTATTGTCAAAAATATCTTGAAAAGACTTTTACTGGATTAACGTAGAAAGTCTAAATGAAGTACCAACATGTGTACAAAAATAGGAGAAACTAGAGCCGAGCTCGTTGCAAAGCAACGAGTAGGTCTTCCGTTGGAGCTGTGGACAGGAAGTACAGACCTTGGGTCAAGGTCACTGCACTTACTTATGTCAACAATCTTTCTTCCCAGCATGAGCCTCCAGTAAATTTTAATTATAAAGTTATGCTTAAACATTTTTTTCTTTGTCAGTGACCTTGATATGCCAGAAAGACATTTGATCAGGGTCATGACAAAACCTCCAATCATAAGTAATGTATGTTTCAAGTAAGAGCCTCCAATGATTTTCATTTACTAATTCATAGCGTAGTAAAGAAAATATTTCTTCTGTCAGTGACCTTGATCTTAACAGAATAACCTTGGCTCTGTGTCAAGACAAAAAATACCTTTTAGTGATTAGAAGTTCATAACCCTGACAGGAATTTTACAACTTTTCTGTCATTGGCCGATGAAGATGTTTGAAATTTGCATTATCTCGCACCATTTTGTCATAGGTCAGAAAAACAACATTGAGGTATTTTAAAACATCAACGGATATCAATATTCAAACAACATGGAGTTTCTATTTATGAAAGATAGACGGAATTGAAAGTCCTTTCCATAATACGTATTTTAGGGCAATAGCTTTACTTTCAATAAAATTAAACTCAAAAGTCCACAAATAAAATATCTTTCCTCATTTATTTCAAAGTTTGGGTAAAGGGGGTGAGGAGCATGGAGATGTCATGATGTATACGTAATACATTCGAGGTTATTATTCTGTTAGACAGGAAGACCCGAGGAGTTGTGATTTGCTGATCATGATCCAAAACACGTTGACAAACCGAAACCACGTGGTTTTATACACGTTATTCAATCATTATTTTCCTTGAAGGAGGAATGCATGGATAAAGGATTAATGAAAATTCCCGATGTACAATAGCATCCGTGCATGGACTTCATTTGAGTAGTACAGAATGATATTGTGCTTAAAGTTGAATAAAATCATCAAATAAATTAAATTTAAATAAGAAAGGGAGATTATATGTTTAATAGAATAAAAATTAGACAATGCTTGATGTAGGGACTCGCTGGTAAAAACTTGAATGTACTTGAATAAAATGCCTCTCACTCATTTTCTCTCGTACGCGTATTTTTTAAACCAAGGAAAGTAATTTGCGCTAGATATGTTCATCATTTTAAAGAAAATACTGAGTTATATACGGTAAACGATACAAATGGTTTGACTTTGGTGCCGGTTATGATTTTAACAGTTTAATTTAGGTTGTAAAAGCGTTTAATTACATGATAAGTCTGTAATATTCAGATAACATTGTTACCCCGGTATATAAGTTCTTAAATTTTCGATTCTGGACATATGCGGGTTTATTACTACTTATTTGTACATTGTATAACCTGCTAATGATATTTAATCACGGAACAAAATTACAATGTTATAGCACACTATACTTATCATTTATACGGGTTTTGAATAAATTATAAAACAAATTAAGTTCATTGCTTTAAAATCATTATTTCTTAAACTTTACTATAAAACCTGTAATATAAATTAATAGACAGTGTGCAGCAGAGAAGTCACTTATGAAGTTTACACGTGCCGGTGTAACTTATCGATGTTTAGTCCATTTCATTGAGTATAATTCTATCCTTACGATTCGGAAGATTCTCTTTCAAAGTTTAAAATTGGTATAGCCATGGTTAATATCTGTGATAAAAAAAAAATGTGTTTCGGAAAACTTGTGTTGAAAACGGATTTATTTGTGTGTGAAAAGAGCAAAGCTTGTGCATTTTAATAAATATTGGTTGAAGTAAAGTAACTGCAGATCGCCAGTCCTTGCGCTATGAATCGTCAAATTACACATGGATCTAACGAATATTTAAGAATTTTAAGACTGATTTATGTACATGTAAAATAAATGCCCCAGCGTTTTGTACTAAAGTCAAACCTAAAACATTTTAAGATATTTTTGAAAGATTTAATTTACTTAGAGAAAATAATATTTTCTTACTGTTGTAGAATGGTTTGTATATACCAATTATTTGCCTATGACTGCGGGGTCAATGGTTCACCGCGGTGTGTCGCTTTAGAATTTCTCGGCAGCGTGTAATCGAAAGATAGATTACGTAATGGTAAACACACTTTTAAAAAAGAATCTTGGTTCCAGGTGAATATGAAAATCGCGCAGTAAATAATTGTGTATTATTTGACTCTTAAAAGTTTTTTTTGTGAAATCCGTTCTTATTGTTTATGTTCGTATTTAAACGAATAAATACTCGTACTTTTTTTCTGTAACTCTTTCTCTTGGAAAGATCTTTATTAATAAAAGGAAAAAGATACCATCGAATGCTCTGAACGGGAAACAAAGAACACGTTTAAAACCTAATTTAAAAAAGAGATATGATACAGCGTGGTAAAATATTTAATTTATTACTTACGGCAAGTTTATTTCAATTATACGCATAAAGAGTTCTTCAATATCAAAATGAGAACGGAGCCTTGCTTACGGTTAATACGGATCTAGCTTTCTTTCCTACAATACGTAAGACTCGAACAAAATAATATTTTCATGGGACAGAGATAGTATAAGAAGGAAAAATTTTATCAAGAATTAATTTAACCATTCTGTGATGGGTTTTTTTGTGTATGACTGTGGGTCGCTGGATCACACGCCGATTGATTCCTGGTGACCGACTTTGCCCCGCCGCTATCGAGGTGGGCGTGTTATATAATTGTAAACAAACAAGGTGAATGTTAAATCCGTGCACTTAATGGCTGTGAATAATATATGTGCTTTTAAGTTATGTTTTATTTTCTCACTATATTGTTTGCTTTTATGTGATAAGAAGAAAAGATTATATTTTCTTCCCTTTTCAGTAGACTTTGTTTATACGATTTTTAAAAAAAAATGAAATAAAAGGGAAAGTTGTCAGTGAATAAACATGATAATTTGTAAGAAAAAAAAGCACAAACACTTCGAGAAATTTATTCTGAAGAATATTAGCATCCAATGTGGCCATGTTTATTATTTATATTAAGCTTGCTTTGGTTACTAGCATGAGAAGCTCTCGTTTACGTGCTGGTGAAAAGAATTACCTGTGCATATATAGGTCATGCACCAGCTCATTTAAAACAAGACTCGAACACAATAACAATTTCATGAGATCAGTAAGATGTTAAAACACAACTTTATAATCGATAGTCATTTCGAAATATTTACCGTTTTTGAGTTATAAGGCAAAAACTTTCAAGGTCCCTTGATCCCTAATTATAGGGGCCAGCCCCTTTTGAATATTATTATATGAAAGCCCTTGCAATTATGCACAACTTTTGTTCAATATGTCTTAACAAAGTATTTTTAGTTTTCAAGATAAAAAGGAAAATATGTGTAAATTTTTGCTCTTTTAGGCGTTCTAATTTTTGACCCCTATATAGCGCCATTGTTAATACAGAAATCGAAAAACAAAAACCGATGTGCACAAATTCAATCCTTCTGTTACCTAAAATCAGTAAAAATTCTGCTTCAGCTTTTGTGGTCTCTGAGCCTTTATCCGGAAACGAAAGCCTATAAATTTAAAGGGAAATAACTCAAAACTGGAAGTGACTTTTTTAAATTTTAGTCAGCAAACTGGTAGAGTTTATAAACGTCTATATTCTCTGAAAATTTGAGCGAAATTCGTTGAGAAATGAGTGAGATATGAAGCCTCAAAGTTGCGGTCTAGGAAGTAGAAGAAAAAAAAGAATAACAAGATATGAAACTCGTTGCGAGCAACGAGAGGTCTTCCGTCCGATTCCGGAAAGAAGATGTAAAATCGAACTGAAAAAGTAAAAAAAAAAAGATTTGCACACAAGGGGGATTGAACCCAAGTCGCTAGCATGAAATTCCAACGCACTAAATATTACGCTATCGGGACCTCTACTCTAAATCTACTTGTATATATTAACGAATATGCTTCTCTCTAAAAATTATGAAAGGCAGGTCACTATTCAAAATTTAGCGCCAAAAGCCACGAGTTAATCTTCGCGCTTTTTCTTTGGAATGTTCTATTAAATAGGTGTGATAGCTTCAATGAAATTAAAAAAAAGAAAGTTCTTATAGCCAAAGATTCGAGATTTAGAAAGTATATTTAACACATTTTAAAAATTCCATATTGTATATATGCATGTAACACTAAAGCGGTGAAACAGCTATGATTTTTTTTTTCAATTTCCTGTTTATCCCCAAAGTGAACTATCCCGATTAGTTAATCGAAAAAGGTTGAAACGTTTCGCCGAAAAACATGGCTCACCCTTCGATGGTCAAGGAATCAGATATCATTTATGCTAAATAACTTGAATCAGGTCTTTGAGACAAGAATGCTAAAATAAACTCCATGAAGCAATCTTATTTTTGTCTTATTTATTAGTTTAATATGACACAAGTGTGCATAGGAAAAACAGTGGTTAAGATTTATACTGACAATATTAATTGATATTCTTTTTTGAGAAAGTATCACTTATAAGTATGATTTAAGATCTGTTTTTTTCCGTGATGCACAAAAGATATTTGGTATCGAATTTCATTTGCACATTTAGTCTTTTCTTTTTCTACTTTGAAAACCAGCCAAAACCAATTATAGAAGACGTTAGTTTGACACAGAACTGCAACGAAACTAAGACGTGACAATCCAAGTATTCCTTTACATTTCATTTATTCTTATGTTCTTTCGTTAAAGCAAACGCTCGGCTGCCTCCGTAAACCACTATTGCGAAATGTCGGCGTTGACAGAGACAGCCGCCATTTTGGACCCGCTTCAGATTTTTGAATGCTTATATCTAGACTTTAGATTTATCAACATTCAAACAAATTATATAGTAAGCATTATAAGGAAGGTTTCTATTAACATACTAAAAATAAACGAAAAATATTGAAAAACAAAAAAGTTAGAAAATACCGACTTTTTAAATTCGCTTCCGCTAGCGACCGGAAGTACTGACGACACACGAAAAGGTGATTTCACATATCTAAAAGTCATCATCTATCTTCTCTAACAAGTCTCCAGTTAATATCTTAGACCATTTTCGTAAAAATGGGGCGACAAAAATCCATTTTAAAATCAGAAAACTGTCAATAACTTGGAACCGAAGGGGAGTATTGCAAATTTTCCTTCTGATGAACAAAGTTCATATAATGACGCATAATTCCTAAAAGTTTCATTGAAAACCACCGAATAGTTTTCGAGAAATCGCCTGCACAAAATTTTGGGGAAAAAAATAAGAATAACTAGATGCGTTCTTGTTGCTGGAGCAACAAGCGGTCTTCCGACCGACTTTTCGTTACAGATCTAAGCTGCCTCATCCCATTTCAGAATTTTTCTTGTTTACATCCATTTACAGCAGTCTCTCAACATATGTCAAGATTTTTACAGGTAAGCCTCAAAATATCTTTAAATATAGCTTTTAAAAATCGGCAAAATATTTTATACATGTTATAAAAGTGAGATTGCAATTTGCAATTGAAAAATGACAGAAACAAAGAAAAATTTGGGAACACCCACGGCGGGATTCGAACCCCCGACAGTGGGACAAAGTTCGGTTCGGTCATATCTTTTCAATATACGAACGCACCAAGACACGGAACACATATTGAGAATTCTCATTAGACACACTAAAAACCCTGTAAATCCTAAAGAAAAATATCGAAAAACAAAAAAGTTGAAAAATTGGACTTTTTTAATTCACTTCCGTTTGCGACCGGAAGTGCTGACGAAGAAAAATAAAGATCGTTGTTCAGATTGGAGTTCGATGTTCTATTACCTCAGTGAGTTTCACTTTCATATCTTCAGCCGTTCTCGAGAAAACTGCTGGACAAATTGCCTTTAAAAAAAAACAAAAATCCCCAAAAATCGCGAACGAAAGTAAATTTAGAAAAAATGAAAAACACGTCTGGAGATATTCTCGTGATGCATCATCCCTGTAAAAATCTTTTAAATCCGTCCACGCACAGCTGAGATATCGCTCTAACTATGAAAAAAAGAAAAATAATAATAACTAGATGCGTTCTTGTTGCTAGGGCAACAAGCAGGTCTTCCGCCCGACTTTTCGTTAGAAATCTCTGCTCCGTCAGGCCATGAAATAGATTTCAGAATGTATTTTTATCGTTTACTTTCATTGACCGCAGTCTCTCAACATAGATCGTGATTATTACAGTTATTCCACAAAATATCTCAAAATATAGCTTTTAAAAATCGACAAAATCTTCCATACATTATAAAAAAGAAAGAAAAGTCATATGCAACTGAAAAAAGACAGAAACAAAGAAAAAATTTTTGCAACGCCCCCAGCGGGATTCGAACCCCCGACAGTGAGACAAAGTTTGGATCGATCATATCTTTGCAATAAATGCACGCATGAAAATGTTGAAAACATATTTAGAGTTCTTAAAAAATACTCTATCAACCCTGTGATTTCCAAAGAAAAATAGTGAAAAACAAAAAAGTTGAAAATTTGGACTTTTTGAATTCGCTTCCGTTTGCGACCGGAAGTCAAAACGACGAAAAATGAAGGTCGATCAACACATCTACAATCGATGTTCTATCACCTCAGCAAGTTTCAGTTTCATATCTTTTGCCGTTCTCGAGAATTTTTTGCGACAAAATTCCATTTAAAAAATACAAATTTCCCCAAAAATCGCGAACGGAGAAAAATTTCAAAAAAGTGAGGGACACCCCTGGAGATATTGACAAGATGCATCATCCCTGAAAAAAAAAGTTGAAATTTGTCCACGCACAGCTGAGATATGACCTGTACTATGAAAAGTGGAATAATAATAATAAAAAACAGAAGGAAAACAATAAGGTCTTCCGAAGGAAGTCGGAAGACCTTAATAATAATAATAATAAAAAACAGACGAATAACAATAAGGTCTTCCGAAGGAAGTCGGAAGACCTTAATAATAAGAAACAGTAGAATCACTAGAAGGTCTTCCGTGAAGACGGAAGACCTTAATAATCTTTACCATCAGAATCAGTAGAAGGTCTTCCGTTGGAAACGGAAGACCTTAAATATTTAACACAAACTTTTCACCTGCAGACTTAGAAAAAAGTCATTAACATCATTACAGTCTTTTCAATATAATCTAACTCATAGATTTTTATTACATAATAAACTCCCTTTTCAAATAAAAATTCAAACTTCACCACAATGTTTATTTTGTAAAAAAAAAGAAGATACTTTAGAACACAAATTTTATTACTGTACTTGTGTTGCAACTTTTTGGAACCATTTTATAACATGGTGGGATGATCTACATATATTCAATGTAGAAAATCCTTCTTGTCAAAATGTTATTTTAGGTCTATATGAGAGAAAATGTGAATGTTTGAATTACTGCATTTTGCTTGCAAAGTCATATTTTTACATTTGCCAGTGTCTTTTTTATATGACAATACTAAAAAAAATGAAATTCAATTTTCGATGACATGCAGTCGGTCACATGATCAGAATTTCTTGCGTATGGAAAACAAACTGCACGAGATATTTGGAAAGTCTTGACTGTGACGTCATATGACGTCGTATTTATCCGTTATGTTGCATTCAATAATATACAATTAATCACTCTTTATGAGGTCAACATGGTGAAATGATGACCCGAGACCTGACCCACGAGGTGAACTGACCTGACCGAGGCCAACGGCCGAGGTCAGGTCAGGTCATCGAGTGGGTCAGGTCAAGGGGCATCATTTCACCATGCTGACCTCATAAAGGGTGATCAATTGTTTTATTATACCGACAATAATGATAATGAAAAATTTGAACACATGAAACATTTTATTTCAACAGTTTCAACAGAATAATGCATATTCTGAAATATCAATTTTAGCAACAATAACTTCAAATTTGATTGTTCAATTGAAATGCGAAAAACACATCTTACAACTGTTAACGATTACAAAAGTCCAATAAAGAACTTTACATTATCTTTACGACTTTACTTTTGTTGTTCCTTTCCTACATAATAGTGAATATGCACTTGTCCGACATTTCTAAATACTGGACCACAAGAGTTTTGAGGCATTTTGTCAACTTTAACATTCTCTTTTTCTTCTGGAACAAACAAATCTGAACTATTTTCATCAACCAGGACTTCAGAAAGCAATTTTTCGGTACTGACAGTCTCAAATTCACAGTTATTTAAATCCAAGAGCTGAGTTTCTGAAGTATCGGTACTAGAATGTGTTGGAACAACTGGGTTTTCTAGCCCTAGCTTTGGTGATGGATAAACCACAGATGATAAAACATCAAACATTTCTTGCTTTTTGGATTCACTTACACATCTTGAATAGCTTTTTATCGAGGTTTCCGACTTATGTCCACTTACAGACATGTCTAGCTTCTATCCCACGCTGATCCAAACTAGTAATACACGTGGCACGTATGCAGTGGTTTGTATACAGAGTTGAGAGTTCAGCTTTCATAGAAATTGTTTTCATAAAATTTCCCAAAGTGTTATGACCTACTGGAGAATTATCATACCAAACAGCATCCGAATCTTTGATATGGCGCTTCGGTCTCTGCCAAAAACTTTCACAATTTGGATTCAGCTTTGCAAGGTATTTCTCCAGGCTAGACACAGGGCACTTCTCATCACCTACATGAACATATTAACATGAAAAAATTGTAAAGCAGTTGAATTCAGGAAGATTATGATCTAAAATTAGTTAATACTGAAGTTTACATGAATTTTATTTTAAATGATTGTAATTGAAGTATTATTACCTGGTATTTCATATATTCTTGCTGAAGATGCATCATAGTCATTAACATCACTTCCTCTGTGATTTTTGGTTTCATACTGAGCGACATTTAGATAATATCTCCTTCCTTGGCCATCTGTCCTCAAAACAAAATCAGTTTTCTTCATACTTCTCAAATTTTCCCTTCCTCTTCTACATGTGTAGAACATCACATCAAGAAAAACTTTATACTGCAACCCCTGCGGACTCTTTCCGGTTAGGACGCCGCTGCTATACAATGTTGCCATGTCAGCATCGCTGATAACTTCCTTGTGCTGAGTGGTTCCCTTTCCAGTTCGTTTGATGTTTGTCAAAACTGCCTTGAACATTTCGTTTGATAGACGAAAATCTGGGTCATTAATAATGTCATAGTTAATTTTTTGGAAAAATCTCTGCAAACCAAACCTGATGCTGATCATGGAAGATCTACTATACAATTCACCATCTTTTCTTCTGAGTTCAGCGTAAAAGTTGATCAGAATTTCAGCAATTTCACCTTTTGTTTTTTGCAGTACGTTGTCCACTATCAGTCCCTTTTCAGTGCAGTATGTAATGAAAATTCGTTTCGCTGAATCTATACATTGTTTTGTGTTAGAACTATCGCGGTTCTCTAGGATCGCTTGTAGTTCCTCACTACTCAAAGTTGCAAATCTTGATTCACCAGCCATCGTCTTCGTAAACAGACGACAAATCACACATGGGAAATGACGTAGTACACAATGTTATAGTCTATATCTTATTTCTAACGAATAACGTAAAGTTAATGAGTTATAGTCTTTATCTAAAAACAGTAAAGTAAACATGGTAAACGTGAAGAAATAACGAAGCGGTAATATGTTCCGCCATTTTTTTTTTAATGCACAGGTCAGGTTCTGCGGTCAATAATATTAATGACCGGACAATACCTCATACTCCTGCAACAATCAAGTCATAAATGGTCATGTGACACAAGAATGGGTCATAAGCTAATTTTATTGTTTCCTCATCAACCAATCAGATTCTTTCATTCTAATTGGAGGTATAATAACAAAGTCTAAATGGACATTTTATCTTTGTAATGTGAATAGAAATAAAAATATAAATATAAGAAATAAGATATCATTTTTAGAGTGTCAGTGGGATATGACATGAAGTCGGTACGTGATCAAATCTACTATAACGCCCTTCGGTGTCAGTATCTAATTTGGATGTCATTAGAAAAGTACCAGAGTTTCACAACTTTTTAAATATGTTGAAAAAGAAATTACTGCTTTAAAAAGAAGTGTATTGCTCAAATAGTAATTCAGATAATTTTAATGAAATCTGGCAACCAATATCAGATATATTATAATCATTATATTGGAATTTATTATATTTTTTTATATACTATGCTATTCAATGAAGTGTTAAAATCAAAATGTAATTTCACCTGTAATAGATTTCTTTGTAAAAACTATGACAGTAAATTTGTATAAAATTATGTAGATAGTAAGCTCCACAAAAATTTTTAATAATTTATAGAACAGACATTGTCCTAAAAGATGTCCTAAAAGATGTAGATAGCTGTTATTGTCTAAAGTTGAATTTGTTGCATGCTTTTCTATTTTATAATTTTGTATATGAAAAAAGAGCCTAAAAAAGGTATTTACCAACACAAGCTTCATTATCACAGCAATGATAATCTCTGTACGGGTGACAATGTCCAGCCTGTAAATGGTATTTAATAAAATAGATAATCAACACAACCTCGTGTTTTGATGAATTCCAAAGCTTACATTAGTGTTGTAGTAAGTTGGAACTGTTTTAGAGAAATCAGACATCACAAAACAAAGAAATAAAATATTGGTGTCTAAACAATTATGATATTGGTCTTTACCTTTGCAATCAAAATAATGTAATAGCAAATTACCGAAAAATTAAAAATATCAAAAAACAATGTAATAAAAACCTGCGTATTTTGGGACAAAATCTTGAATAAACTGAATTTGCTGTTTAAATAAAAAAAAAATTAAATATTTGATTCAATATATGATCAACTGAATAAAAAACATATGGAGACAAACCAAAAATTCATAAACAATACAAAACAGGAAAATAGCAAACACGGACCTCCAAAACATCAGAAGTGGGATCGGGTGACATGGAGGAGTGAGCATCCCCTGCCGACCGGTCATATCCAACGTGTGGTCCTTGTCATAACCGGGAAATCACGGGAAAATCCGTAGTCAATTTATTGTGTAAAAAATGACGTAACAATTTGGTACGAAAAACGTCAGTCAGCATTTGACTCAATGATAAAATGTATTAGCTGACAAGGTCATTGTATCGACTATAGAACTTATGCATTGATTACTTTAAAAACGAGACTGCCGATATTCTTGTCTCATCAACTTGTTTGTCAATACTTAACCTCGATTTAGAAATTGTTCATACGTAAAGCATGCTCTTGCATATCGAATTAATTGAGATATATACAATCAGTATGCAGGTGAAGAAGGTATATTGCTGCATAAGGGAAAGGTGATGTTTGAAAAGATAGTCATCACGTTTATCAAAGAGCTTGGTGAATAATTTCTCAAATGAGGCAAACTATAGACAAACGATGTGATGAAACAGGAATATTAAAAGTATTATTTAAACTCGTCATTTTGCAAGTTTTTTGTCGATGTAATGAATTCTGTCTCAAGATCTATACCTGTACAAATTTATATTACAACTATATGCGTTTTGCTATTGACAAATGTACATGTACAAAATCATACTGGTGATACTATAAAAGTCCGAATATTATGCGTTCATAATAGAGCTACTCTTTCTTGTATTTTGACAGCGGCTCATATCGGTCTGATGTTCTTAAGGGTCCACGTTTTCTCTGACCCCAATTTATATCCTTTAATTGAAGTTTAAATACTCTTCGCTTTCACCATATTTCATAAATTTTGGTTTTAGTCCATTATATTAGTGAGGGATTAATTAAATTAGATTTTCATAATGAATTTTATATCAAATGATTTATGTAGATTTAACACATTTCGGATTAATTTCATTTTTTTCCCACTACTTTTATATTAGAGGATGTTTCTAAAATTGTCCAAAAGCTAACTAGTGACCAATCCAATTACATCAAATTATCCGGAATACACCTTTAAATGATTATTACGTCTTGTGGAGGTAGCCCCTGGTGTGGAACTAAATTTGACAAACTTCACACTGGATGGTGTTCTTGAAATCACAGACGTGGTGTTGACAAGACGGGCAGTTAATTAGAGGAACATGATGATGGTCACTGTGAGAGGCGCTTGCTAAAATCAAATTAAAAGTTGATCGTTATACATCATTTCAAATAGACAAAATAATTTTAGTTAATGTTGATGGGGTTGATCATCAACCGGTTGTCATCTTTCTTTTAACCATATACTAGTAGTTGATTATATAAGTATGCCTGTGGAATTGGATACAAGTAGTACAAACCATCCATATGGTGGCAATGACAACGCCAACAGCGTAATTTCCAGTCCACAGTGTAGCAGTTTGGAGGTGGTATGACTATTGTCAATATATATAGACTTATATGCTGATATGAGCATCGGTGAAATGTAAGATAACAAACAATATTCAAGCTCAAAAGTCCAATACAAATATGAAATAGGAGCAGAGCAAACACGGACCTCCAAAACATAAGAAGTGGTGGAATCAGGTGTTGTGGATGAGTAAGCATTCCCTGCTTACAGGACACACCGCCGTGTGCTCCCTGTCATGTTCGGAAAGCAACAATAGTATGAAATACGTCAGTCAGCATTTGACTCAATGATAAATTCTATTTTCTGACAAGGTCATTGTATCGACCAAAGAACTTACGAAATAATGACTTTAGCAGGATGGCTGATATTCTTATTTTATCAACTTGTTTCTCAATGATTTACCTCGTTTTAAAAATTGCATATACGTACATGTACATGTACATTGCGTATCAAAACATCTTAGAAATATAAACTCTGTATGCATGCAGGTGATGAAGATGTATTGCTACATGAGTAAGGGAAGTTGATAATTGAAAAGTTAAAGTCATCACGTTTATCATAGAGCTTGGGATAGATAAGCATTAACGTCTTTTTCAAGTAATATATCCAAATATGACCTTTTATCTCCATTAAAAGAATATATTTCTTATAAAGATATAAATAAAATGATCAAATTTTAAAGCTAATATATCTAATTTTCGAGTTGAAAACCACACCAATTGTTTTCTTCTTTTCACGCATAAATTCTGCTTAAAATAAATACAAATCTAAATCTACTAAAAATGGGGCGCAATTTGTGCCGGTTGGAATTCAAATGGATTGTTGGAAGAACTGGTCTCCAAAGACGACATGTATATTGTCAGTCAGAAACTTAAGCATCTTTTTAAAAATGTTTTTTCAATGCTAATTTAAACAAAATTAATAATTGTTTTTTTTTAAGAAATATTCTTGACAAGCCGGTTATAAGATCAAGTGAAGAGAGAGAAAAACATAATAACAGAAATCATTATGTTTGAAAGATAACCACAAACAAGTTACACTAATATATATTTGTATAAATATACTGAGACTACCAATAAAGATACAAACTTAACTTTTTTTTCTTTTCAAAGACTTCATTTTGGTGAAATGGACTTTGTAAGCAAGATACAAGATCAGTATGATCTACATGAAGACACAAAGGGAAACTTAAGACCAAATGGTAATACTCATGTTATCAATCATTCATTTTGGTAGTTCATGAGTCCCTCTAACTTCAAAGCCTACATCTTGGTACCGGTAATTATCAGCTTTAATTTTGTTAAATCTATATCTTGGTTGATGCCTGCCCAGAAAATGACAAGTGCTAGTTCATTGAATTGATAATACATTTATGTTTTACATTTAGGGAATTATCAGTTAATTAAATATCACTTTACGTTAAACATTTAGTATGAAATGTTTATTATTTGAAGAAAAAAACAGGAAGATAGAACACGAAGATATATACAACATTGAATGTAATCCACTTTCTTTATCAACTGTAGACTGGTGAACATAATGAATTATCCAAAATACCACTCTGATTTATTGACCCGAGGGAAAGCACATTGATTGAGCACAAAGTATGAGAAAGATCATTTTAGATAATAAATCGGATGGTCTTTTATTTTATTCTGTTTTTCTCCAATGAATTGTAATGTGTAAAAGAATTCATTACTTTAATAAAGAAATTGTTATTTAGTTAATTCCTTTTCTAAATGAGAATAATGGTAATTGTAATGGTATAAATTCTAATAGTTTGTATTAAAATCACAATATTTGGGAAATCATATGGCTGCATGAAATTTAAAAGATAAAAAAGTCATGTGCATTTGTATTACACTTGGCCTCGCTAAAACGTCAAATTTTAAAGTAATTGAAAGTCCATATTTGGATCTCTCCAAAATTTAAGGGCTGTTCAATAAATAATGTCGGGTGCTCAGAAAGAAGCACATTTAATTTTCAATGATATATTGCAATTTTACTTATATATCTTTTAATTCAAACACATGTCCGTAAAATTTTTTATCAATTTCTGATTGTTTTTATGAATAATATCATTTTTGTTTTACCCTTATTTAAAATGGCAGAATGATTTCCTTTATTGTTTTTTCCTTCTGAAAGGTTTTTTTTTCAAGTTTGGAAATAAAACAAATCAAAAGGTCAAAGATCTGGCAAATATTGTTGAGACTGAAAAAACAAAAACTTTCTGTTTATCCCGAAAACCCTTTTTCACTTTCTTTGTCAACTGTAGAAATTCAATGTAGTGGATTCCTGATTCTGATTCCTCTAATAAACCGTTTGATTTTTTGCAAAAAAATTGCTTTCTAGGCAAATATTAAACTGTCTCAATACGAATTTGAACACAATACCACCAATATTTAAGAAAATTGCATATTAATCTATCTTTGTGCTCTTATACCTTTGCTCTTTTCAATCAGTTTTTATCAAGTACATCATAAAATTTTGTTTTGATGGTTTTAAGCAATAGATTCATGTTCCAAATGTTTGAATATATAAAACATGGATAATTAATTACTTTATTTTAAAATAATTGTTAATTTAATTACACACTGTAATTTTATGATTTTTCAAAATATATGGTAATTGTAAAGCTTTTTTACTGTCAAACGTTTCTTAAAAACAGTGTAATATAGCTTATGTCAAAATTTGCTTGTGTGTATACATCAAATTGTTTGTTGAAATTTGGCAAAAAATAAAAACATAATTTTTGTTACCAAATATTGTTTTACAAAAGTGTTGTTATTTCCATTATATAATTTTTATCATTAAAATCCAATATTTCATTTGTCTATAAAAATTTGAATTAAGTCAGTTTGTTTCATGATCGGTTGCTGTAAATGTCACATATTTCAGTAATATTTCTTTGCTTTTTAACAAGTTTTACAGCAAATTTAATGTAGCTTTATTTTCAACGAGTTTACTGATTCTTTACCATTTATTTATAATGCATCAACTTGTTTGTATTAAAATTGATGAAAAGTGGTCACATAAGAGACTGTATAAACCGGGAAAATAGGTTGGCGCGATTCTCTCACATTAATGGCCCTAACTGTCATGAAATTGAAAAAAATGAACAGCACAAAGTCATGTGCACTTTTTAAATTACATAATGCATTCTGTTGAAGCAAGGCCGAACATGAATAAAAAA